ACTATATATTATATATGAATATTACCCACGCACTGCTAACCAGACATTATACCCACTTACTGCTAGCTATATATTATATATGAATATTACCCACGCACTGCTAACCAGACATTATACATGAAAATTATCCACGCACTGCTAGCCACACATTATCCATGAAAACGTATATCCACTGCTACTCTCATAGAGCACTCAAGCTTACATAGTGCGAAACACGTTTTTGCAACAACAGGCTCGAACCATGGACTTCCGGATTCATAGCCTGGGCACGCAAACCAACGGGCCACTCTCTGCCGCATAATGGAAAAGTTATGTGTTAACTAACTGGATAATACTCATTTTATAGTTCTTTTGCGTAGTTTCCATTTTAAGATTTGCAACAATGCTACCACATGGTGTTTTGTATAATATACTAATCATTTACTTCCTCGGCAGTTCTCGTGTTTGTAGAATGTGAATTGGTTGAGAAACCCAATGAACCTGCAAAGATATTGATTGTAGAGAAAATTACTGGGTTTCTAATCGGTTTACTTCACAATTTGGAAGTAGTTTTACATAGCTACGAGGTGCTTAAATATTGTTGGGGCTGTTGATAGAAATATTAAAATCTTTCTGGATATTAATAGTTATTTGCGTATTTTGATAAAAGGAAATGTTAACTCTAATCCGTTATCGAATGATCGAAAAAAATCGATAAATTATACAATACGACTGGTCAAAAAATTTATAGTTGTGAGAAGGGGCGTCGTTTTACCAAAACCGGTTTATAAGGGTTGCAAATATTGGTCCATCAGTTTATTATATTACCACATGTGTGTAAAGTCAACTTCCGCAAAAGATATATATAATGGAATATAAAAATGTAAGTAAAAGCTTTTCGATAAACTTTTCATCGACGTAGTTTAACTATATTTAACTTATTCTATTCAACGAAACAGAAAAGTTGTTTGCAAACAGACGGATATTAATGACAGTGGAAAAGTGACAATATATAAAAAAAGAAAAAAATGTTTTTGTCTGTTCTTTAATATTTATAGCATGTTTTTATAAACGCAAAATATTTAATTTACTATTTACCAAAATTTAATGGCCATACAAAATGGTGCTTTATTTTTAAACTACGCCTACGGCCAGTTAACACAACAGCCATACAGTTCTAATTATCTTGTAAAGGTTGTAGCATAAGAATGAAGTTCCAACGCCTGAAAAATGCAATAAAACTCACGACATTTAAAACTATTAATTAAGTGGTGTGTGAATAGTAGCTGTAAGACATGATAGCAAATTTTAAAATACATTAGTCATAATTCTTGTAAACGATATAAAGTGACGATTGGAACAATTTAGATATTTTGTATGATGCAAAACTACAATTTTAGGCTACACATCTATAATGATGCTGCTGTATACATCTATTTGTTTTCATTTTTACAGTATTATCTGTATACTTGTTCCATGCTTTCCAATGGTCTATAGAATAAATTTAGATACGTATCAAGTACCTGGGTGCTCCTGAAGAAGTTGTATAAACGAAACGTTGAGCGAAATAAATGTAATCTTGTTCTGGAGTTCATGGTCGTTCTTTCATCATACTTGCAAATGCTAGTTTTATCCAGCTGTTCTATACAGTTATTCTGCTTTAATCTCCCTCGGCCAGGAACCACCTAGCATGTGTAGTCACAGTACAGGTGTCGCATCGCCCTGGTTGCGAGATGTATTTTTAAAAAGTGCAATAAAAATTGACAAAGAAATTATCGCAGCGCCCATCGTCGTATACTTGTTTGTTTTTAATTATGCACAAAGCTACACAATGGCTATCTGTGCTCTGCCCACCACGGGTATCGAAACCCGGTTTCTAGCGTTGCAAGTCCGCAGGCATACCGCTGCGCCACTAGGGGGGGGGGGGATCGTCGTGTACAGCAGAAGCCAAACAACGTTAGGTTTTTAGAAGATTCAAAAATAAATAAGAAAGATAAATAAAGGGGGCAGTTTAAGCAAGGAACGTATGTTTGGAATAAACGTCAGAGTTTGTACGGAATATGTAATCAAACCATAATATCAGTTTTGTGCATAAGATTTCAACAAAACCGTAAAAACAAAAACAACTAATAAGTCCAACCACTTTCTAAGTTTGAAGTTATTTCATTTAATGTTAAAAAAATAACAAATGAAAATCCAACTTCTGTTTGCGACATACAAAATTCGCAGAATTTAACATTAAGGTTTCAAATATTTAATGGAAAACCGAAAGAAGAATCTCAATTAAAACACAAACAAAGAAAAACATTTCGAATGGCTTCAGTGTTAAGAAATAAATATCATAAAATATTGTATGTACATTTGGGCCTAAGTTTATCAGAACAAGACTGATCAATAGAGAGCTATGAGCAGAAAGGTTTGTACATTAAATAAAGTTGTAGTTGTTTACCTTATTCCTATAAATATTATTATTCAGTACCGTAATACTTAATAGTAGGGATCGACAAGGTTTCCTAATAATTCACGCGCCGCAAAACCACTCTATTGAATTCCTAAGCCAAAAACGGACCATTCGAAGTATTGGTTACCATATATTATGCGCATATATACTAATAATACACTAAATTTTCTGGTATAACAATTCAAAAATTTCTAAAACAGTAACTTTTTCGTCTACTACCTACCTACCTGATCACGTCAGCGGGGCTAATCCCCAGACGGATGTGGACTACCGCTACAAGATTTCACCATCTTCCTTCATTGGTCTGTGGATATCCGCTTTTGATATTCCAATAAATATATACAGATTTTTTATAAATGGTAAACATATCAAGCACATACTTAAACATCTATTAAACCCAACAGATGGCGCTACATATCGACAGACAAGCAATAGTTTCAAAACGTAAAGTATATACTTTATATAG